TATAATACATATGTATAATATCAGTTAAAATAAGTGCTTCAACATAGTTAACATTGCTGGAGGTATGCACAAATATTGATAGATGTCTTGTAATGGACTATTGAGGAACCTGCGACCCAAGTTTTCATTCATTGCATAACTACACCGTTTGTGTGTATGATATGTCAATAAACCTTAGAACATCTTGAAATCTTGAAAGGGATGTGACAAAATAGTCATTTTATACAGTCTTTAATGAACTATTAGTAGAGAATAACGAGTAATTAATATACTTTATAGGAATCCTATTAATATCTAATAATAAAAATAATGAAATTCAATAACATGCTTTAACCACTAGGTGTCCCTTTATATCAGCTCTGCACCTTTATGGTGTAAATACAGCCTATCTACCAATTGGATCAAATATAAAAGTCAGCCGAATTAGTGTTGATACTGCGAGGAGACGTATTGTGTGAAAATAAATGTAAGATGTTGTTTAATTGCTGATATATTTATGATCCACGTCACGTTTTCAGTTTTGGCGGCAGTTCCTCATATTTGTCTAGAAGTCTTCTCATCAGGGCTCTATAAATTGAGAACTACGGGAGATATGTAATATTTAATGCAGCCGAACCGTGTATTACAATGCCGTTATGTGATGACTTTCAAAGAGAAAAGCAAGCACACTCGGAATAAAGTATTATTTTATTTTTTTTAAATGTTTTCGGTCTGTTTCCGGTATTTGTTAATGACGATGTGATGTGAGATGTGAGACTGGAATTGCACAGGGGAAAATAACGTATCTCTGCCACCATTTTAGATGCGGATTTTGTTAAACTAATAAGTTTGCGCTGTGGGCCAACACTATACATTGACGGGGAAGGGGGTAGCAATAAAGATAACACCATTAAACAGTTACACAACATAACAGAAATAATATCGATAGCAGCGTCCCTAGCCCACTTGGTAACAATGAAAACGTTGTATGGACACAATTTCCTGAAGTAATCTTCGTAATAACTAGCAAACTAAAGATCATGTACATCCACTGCACACATAATCTGAAATAACAACTCATATTTCTCGCATCAAATGACATCAAAACGCATTTTAATGGCCAAACTAATAGGCATTTTCCACCGAGAATAAAACGAAGTTCGGCCATGTTTTTTTTTCTCCGCAGGGAGAAATTTGAAGATCACGTGACATAGACGCCAGCCATTGGAATGAATGGTGAAAAAAAACATAGTGATCTTACAATTTCAGAGGCGTTTTTGTAGAAATACTACGTCCTACGTTGTGGACCAACGTAGTTATTACACGTTTTTTTGTGAGACTGGGTTGGGGAAACACCATATCCCAGCGTGCATTGGATGCTACAACATCCAAATCCTCGAGCTTGAACCAGGCCTACGTCTGTTTCCGGTGACTTTATTTTGAAAATCAGTTCCTGACGGAAGCTAAAAAGCCCAATATTATAGAATTAAACGANAAGGGGAGCTATTATGCAAAATCCACTTCTTCATGTCTCTTCTATATCAACATGTGTCCCCTCTTCTTCATGTCTCTTCTACATCAACATGTGTCCCCTCTTCTTCATGTCTCTTCTTCATCAACATGTGTCCCCTCTGTGGAAAGAGACTCTGAAAGTTTCAGGAACAAAGATTCTCTCTCTTTTGTCCTGATCCATTTCTATAAAAACCTGTCTGAAAATGAGCTGATCAGATTTTGGCCACTTTATGATGTCATAACGATTTTTTTGGCTTGTGTAACAATTAGCCAATCAGCAACCAAGGTAAGCCCCCCCCTCCTACCTTATCACCTGAATCTCCTCCTAGAGCACCATTGAGTTCTTTTTAACCAAATGTCTCTCAGAGGGGCGTGGGGAGGGGCTCCTTATTTTCATCTAAAGTAACAGACAGAGAATCAGCACTTTTGAAACAGGGCTGAAACGGAGGGGATTATGGGTAATGCTGCAATGATCTCTTTGGTGTTTCAGACAAACACTTCAGAGACATGTTTCGTATACATCTGAGACCTGTAATATATTGATGAAAAACAGTATAATAGGGGACCTTTTTAATAAAGACATGTTGAGTCACTTTTTCCCTTCCTGTCTCCTCAGGTCTTTGTGTTGAAGTTCCACACCATCGCACGCTACCAGCTGGTCTCCATCTTCAAAAAGTGCAAGCCCCAGTCAGAGATGGGTGTGGTCGAACCAGGAGTGTTACCTGGTGTACCGGCCACACCCACTCCATCCACCACTCCGGCCATCTTACCTCCCGCTCCTCCCACACCCGTCGCTGCGGCGCCTCAACCTCCATCAACGTCCTTAGACAGAGCGGGTGAGAAGGAAGACAAGCAGACGTTCCAGGTGTCCGACTGCCGCAGCTTAGTGAAGACTCTGGTGTGCGGAGTGAAGACGATCACCTGGGGCATCACGTCCTGCAAAGCTCCAGGAGGTGAGAGGACACGGATACATTAGGCATTAGGCATGTTATACAAATGCATATCTATCTTAAATTGTTTGAAATGTACCCACATCAGTGTTTCCGCCAGACCAGGGCTGACGGCAAGACGCCCCCCCCTGGCTGAAACGCTGACCTACATGCACTCTCTAACTTCTGTCTTTTTAAAATCCTCTTTTTCCAGAGGCCCAATTCATTCCTAACAAGCAGCTTCAGCCGAAGGAGACCCAGATCTACATTAAGCTGGTGAAATACGCCATGCAGGCCCTGGACATCTACCAGGTACAGCCAATGAGTCGTGACTTTACCATCTCTAACTTTATTTGTGCAATGACCAAATAGTTGTCTCATATCGAAATTCTTTACATGTGCGTTCAGGAAGACAGGGCTCTGGTAATTACAGTGATTTCATTCCAGCGAAATCCCAGTGTAACAGCTGTCATGCTTTTCCTCTCCAGGTTCAGGTTGCCAACAACCAGCAGACGTACATCAGGGTGGCAAACTGCCAGACTGTTCGCATGAAGGAGGAGAAAGAAGTCCTGGAGCATTTTGCCGGAGTCTTCACCATGATGAACCCTCTCACATTCAAGGAGATCTTTCAGACCACTGTGCCCTACATGGTGGAGAGGATCTCCAAGAACTATGCACTGCAGGTGCGTGATGTCGTGCACACAAAGAAGAAATGGGGTGCTTTTATATCATGTTTTTATCAAACAAGACATTTTCCCTTGTGCTCAAATTATATTTCTTGTATTCTGTTGTTTCCCAGATTGTTGCAAATTCGTTCCTGGCCAACCTGTCAACGTCGGCTCTGTTTGCCACCATCCTCGTGGAGTATCTTCTCGAGAGACTACCAGAGATGGGCTCTAACGTCGAGCTCTCAAATCTTTACCTCAAGCTTTTTAAACTCGTATTTGGCTCAGTGTCACTGTTTGCTGCTGAGAATGAGCAAATGCTAAAGGTAGGAGTTTATTTGGTCTTATTTTCCAAGGCTGTGTAATTGTTTGTGACTTTTTACTAATATTAAACTGTCCCTGTTTCTTCAGCCACACCTCCACAAGATCGTGAACAGCTCCATGGAGCTCGCCCAATCAGCTAAGGAACCCTACAACTACTTCCTGCTTCTCCGAGCTCTCTTCCGCTCCATTGGTGGAGGCAGCCATGATCTTCTCTACCAAGAGTTCCTACCGCTTCTACCTAACCTGCTGCAAGGTAACGCCTCCCATACTCTGAGTTAAACACGAGTTGTATTTGATGAGTGTTGAAGACGTACGACATTCCACTAATACCTCCTCCTCGCCTAATGAATCCGCCCTTTCCATGCCGTTAGGTCTGAACATGCTGCAGAGTGGGCTTCACAAGCAGCACATGAAGGACCTGTTTGTGGAGTTGTGTCTGACGGTCCCGGTGCGTCTGAGCTCCTTGCTGCCGTACTTACCGATGCTGATGGACCCGCTGGTTTCTGCTCTCAACGGCTCTCAGACTCTGGTCAGCCAGGGCCTCCGCACCCTGGAGCTGTGTGTGGACAACCTGCAGCCCGACTTCCTGTACGACCACATCCAGCCCGTCAGAGCCGAGCTCATGCAGGTGGGGGGTGTTCCTATGATCCTAATGTCCAATGCAAATATTTCTAAGCTGCCTGGCCGGACACTTGTAGATCCAAAAGCTTTATGCAGCCCCCTCATTTATGTAGTCCTTGTGTTCCTCCAGGTTAGTTTTCATTTCTCCATGCACTCTAAAAAAACCAAGCACATATTTAGTTTTTTCACCTGTTTTCACAGATGAAAGAAAAGTAACTTAACACACTTCTTACTCACCCCCACTTCTTTCACACATTTCTTTAGAGAAACTTAGAAAGGTTATCCTCGCAAAACATTTTTTTTCAAGAGTTTAAGTTTCCAGGGTCGACCAAACAACTTTAAATCAGTATTAGAATATAGATCGCCAGCACCTTGTTCTCACTTGTCTCTAAGGGTCCTCATTGATTTATATCGACTCATTAGAGCAGTCACAAAGCCCTTGGTATACCTGCCCTCTAGTGGTAAACAGTGGACATTACAATATTTCCAGACATACACACAACCAGGATCAATCACACACACCACTTTACTACAATACTGCTGAACTGTGATGGGTGATTCATTACTGCAATGACAAGTCCTGTGCGATTTATAAGCTCTCCCTGCTTTTTTGTGGTGTAGATTATCACATCACATTACATGTTACATGTTAGACACTTTTATCCAAAGCGACTTACATACTCAATACTGTGGGCAATCCCACAGGAGCGTTTTGAGGTGAAGTGTCTCAGGGACACAACGACATGCTGACTGCAGTGGGGTTTGAACCTGTGACCCCCTGATCCCAACACCAACGCACTAGTCCACTGCGCCACATGCCTCCCCATAGATGTAGTCTTTCATGACTGTAGACCAGGGTAGGATTTTCACGGCGGCCATGGCCGCCGTAGCCCCTCGGTCTGGCCGTTATGCCCCACAAATAATTGTACGTCCTACGGCCACCGTGGCCTGTGTGCCCCTGATACTGTTAAAATCTCGAAGTTGCTTTAAAAGCGTCAGAACAGTGGTTTCTGAACTGCATTATGCTGCGTTCACAGCGGACGCAATGCAAATATTCTCATCGCTCTAATTGCTGGAGTTTCACTGCGGCTGTCAGCTGTGTTTACTCCTGTCATTCAAACAGGACGCGCTGGAGAGGGGGCGGGGCTTATATCCAGGGCCGTTTCTAGCTTTTTGGGGGCCCTATGGGGGCCCTATGCAAGATGCTGTTTGGGGGCCCTAGTTTTGACAGTTTTTGAACTACAATGGGGGGGATTCCGAAGCCTTTAAGATGATCTGTGGAGATGCATCAATCTGTTACACTTTAATAGGAAAAGAGGCTAATTTCAAGAAAACCAAGCAATCCAAAATAAAAAATGATATTAAAAAGGTAAACAATAAGGCTCCTCTATGTCAATAAATGCAAGAGATGCAGCATTTTCTCAACAATGTTTCCACCCCAACGATGATTTGGACTTTATTACCCCAAAAACCCAAGCCACAGCTTTGCTATCATTGCAGTTTAGTCGTATTTATATCCTACATTGGATTTGTAAGCATATAATGCTTCACCGAACACACAGTGGCGACTGGTCATTAGGGGCACAACCCCACCTAGTGTCAGTAGAAAGTATTACAAATAATGATTACAAAAAAATGCAAAAAATAAACATCAAAATATATAAAATATATTTTAAGATCATGGTTAATCATCTGATTCGTCTGTACATTGCTGTTTTAGTCTGTGTTCTTCTAATTAGTGTCTACAGTGTGTGCCTATTGAGCTGTTTAGAGCTATGTGGGACAAAACCCGATCATGCCCCTCCCTCTCCCTGTCTAAGTGAACGGTGACTATAAAAACTACTCTGCGCATGCTCAGACTATTGTCCTATTTGATGTGTGTGGCAAAATATTAATGACCATAGGGGCATAGAGCTGCCATCCCCACCATACGTCATCTCACATCATTCAGAGGTGATTGGCTGTAAGTACATGTGCCGCGAAAAGTGTGGTGTGTGAAGAGGATGAGAGAGACGCGTCCTAAAACCAGGAAGTAAGCTGCGCATGGCTTCCCTCCACAAAAAAGCAATGATATTTCTCCATGGGATTTTAGAAAATAGCTCAAAATAAGATCTNTGTATGATTTATTACACGATTTATTGAATGACGGAATAGGCGGAACTAACGTTATTCGTCATTCTAGTCAGACCCATTAGAGCGGTGCACTCAGGACCCTGGGTCCTGAGTGCACCGCTCTAATGGGTCTGACTAGAATGACGAATAACGTTAGTTCCGCCTATTCCGTCATTCAATAAATCGTGTAATAAATCATACATTTTTCATTTTTTTCACTTTTTTCACTTTTAATTTTGGCCCCCCTGGCCCCCCCTAGAACGACCCCTGCTCCAAATGATGCTTAATCAAGAACTTACAATTGGAGTTTAATCAAAACACATTGAAGCGTTTAGATTCAAGATCCACAGACTTATTTTCACGTCATAAACACAACTACAGTGTAATGCAATGGATGAAAACTTAGGTCACAGGTTCCTCAAAGGAGTGATTACAAGATATAGACTTTTATAAAAATGAAATAAAATAGAAAAGGACAAAGTTAAAAGCAAACCGAAATGTAAACAAACACTGAAAAAAATGCAGAGTTGGAAAGGAGCCAAAGTTCACGTGAAGTTCATGTTCTCTGTAAATACTTGGAGGTGTTGCGGTACGACACACTGCAGGCCTTTTCTTAGAATACACGTCACAGTAGGAACATTTCTTATTAATGTCTGAGTAAAGTTCAATTGTTAAGATTATGAATCTACTACTGAGAAACGTATTCTCCGTCCAACATTCACTCGGGTGTTTTCACCTCACTCTAACATCAGGTTGTGAAATGTTTCCTGTTCTTCCAGTTTAATCGACATAGTGACTGTCTCTTGGTTGCACCTTTACTCAAGTACTTTACTATTGGGGTTGTCCTAGTGTCAGAGGTGGAAGAAGTACTCAGATCTTGAACTGAAGTGAAAGTAGAAGTACTCAGATCTTGTACTTGAGTAAAAGTAGAAGTACCAGAGTGTAGGAATACTCTGTTACAGTAAAAGTCCTGCATTCAAAATGTTCCTCAAGTAAATGTAGAAAAGTATTCTCATCAAAATATAGTGAAAGTAGCGACAGTAAAAGTATTCCTTGTGCAGATTGGTCCATTTCAGAATAATATATATGATATGTTTTATAATGATTGATCATGAAAATGTTCTCAAAGCTGGTAAAGGAGCAGCTAGTTTGAATGACTTTGTATACTGCAGGGTAGCTTGTGAATTCACTCCAGGTGGAACTAAAGTCTGATTTAACACATTAGATTTCACATCATTCATCCACATCTTTAAAGTCACTAAAGGCATTAAATACATGTGGGGGAGTAAAAGTACACCATGTACCTCTGAACTGTAGTGGAGTAGAAGTACAAAGTAGCTTAACATGTAAATACTCAAGTCAGTAACTCAACATTTTTCTTAAGTACAGTACTTGAGTAAATGTACTTAGTTACTTCCCACCTCTGCCTAATGTTTATATACAGTTAGGTAGTTAAATCTACAGCAACACATCATATCCAATAAGATCATAATATGTTGATAATAATAGTACTTTTATGAGCTCATTAAACATATCATTTGTCCTCAGCTTTACTCATTGAAGCCAGTGTGTGATCAGTGTCTGTTTGGCAGGTACGTCCACACCTTCTTTTTCCTCCACACCTTCACTTCATGGGCAGGAACCCAAACAAAGCAAGCATTCAAACCCTTACTCTGCAGGTTATGAAGTATTGCTAACTGAATAACTTCACCTTATAAGGAATCCCTTGCATGGAATGGAATGACAACAATGAAGACAAAAGGTCATGCATGTAAAGTACTACAATATATGCATATAGTACATGTAGCCTACAATGAATTACTATATGTTAGCTGTTGAAAAATTTCAAAAGATGATAATGAAATGTACCTAATTTTATGAGCATTGATATTTGGGGCCTATGTTCATATATATCTTTATATCCACAGCAATAAAATGCATCATACTCATAAATGAAGCTGTAATATTAATCCTCGAAGAGCAATCATTTATAATAGTAAAACACATGACTTGAAAATGTACTGCATAATTAATACTTTTACTTTTCAAACATTGAATATATTTTGCATACTTTCACACAAGTAGGGTTTTGAATACAGGATTTTGAGATGAGTATTTTCACAGTATATTATGAGTACTTTTATTATTTTAATTAAGGATATTAATTATTTTATAATGTTTACTAATGTTTTTTGTGTATCCACTAGGTGGCGGTAATGAGCTTACATGCCGTTTTTTCAACCACATGAAACATACACGTACATGAAAAGAGAAAGACTACTATGGACTATACCAAAAATGAGCGGTGTAGAGCGAATACAAACACAGTCTACAATTAAATGAATTAAATTATAAATGCAAACACAATCGACCCATCATTCACCCACAATCCATAATTGATCAGTATTCAAACAACAACGAAGAAATATCCCGTATTATATCTTAAATCATATTAATATTGTTTTCAACCCCCCCGTTCGTCTCCGCAATGGTTCTTTCCAGTAATGGTAGCAGCAGCATGGTGAAGGAGAAGCCAGCGTGGATAAACAACAACAACGACACTTTGTGGATTTAAACTGTTAGTTGTAATAACAGCTACCTGTAGTTTGAGATTTGATCATCTCTAAACCCGATTAGTCAAAGGAAATCAGCAGAGACTCCGTTTCACAATGGTAAACTCACGTTTCTAACCTAAGCTAATCTGTAAGCTAACTGCGGCTAACGTCACTTGTGCATGTGTGGTGTGTCCATGAGAAAAAACACTGTTATGATGGGAAATATCACCGTCAACTAATGATATGTTATCGTATTGTACTTACATAACTACATTAAGAAAGTTTTAGGCTTGAATAAAATTGAATTCTCCCCTGTTGTTTTGGTAGCAAACTTAACTCAGGTGTTTAAAGTGAAGGGAACTTTGTAGGAAATGATCTAACTTAAGTACCACCAAAGATACAGAAGAGACCTATTATAGTTAGTTTATACAACGTACCTTTTAATGTTTAAGTGTGTTGTTTATTCGACAAAGTGTTGGAATATTGAGATACACAGAAGCCCATATATGTGGGATGTTAGGTAGTTGTTATAAAAACAAACATAATCACTATTGAGATTGTCTAATGTTTACTTATTTGCATACAGTTTGTTAGTTGAACCTATAGCAATGCATCATATTCAAGAAGATCATAATATGTTTGTAAGAGTAAACTTAGCATTGCTTTACCATTTAGAAAAGGGTGCAAATATTAGATCGGGAAAAACAATAGGGTTCAAATCTAAGATATACAGTATAAGCCATGGAACACAAATATATACAGGTTTCAGTCAGGATAATGCATTTTTGCAATTAAGCAGGGCTCTAATTAAGCAGGGCTCTAACTAATGACAATCTATCAATTAATGTCACAATTATTGTTTTGGTCTTTGAAATCCATCCCAAAATGTCCACCCCAGTCTCTATAAGTTCAGTTAAAATGTCTTGTTTTGTCAAAACCTGAAATATTCAGATAGATAGACAATAAAACAGAAAAATATGCTATTTATGAGTAAAAAAATAATTTCTGCATGAAATTGTATATAATGAAAGCCATCTCGCCAACAGTGTGAACGAGTAAAGTCACTTTCAGAATATTTAACAGCAGAATCCTCAGTGATGGTTTTCTACTGTGGGAAATCCTCCTTTCCCGTCCTTTGTCTGTTTCATTTAAGAGTCTCCTGTTATATATTTTCACCAGCGATCTCCCCATATCCCTCCTCTATCCGTCTCTCACAGCCTNCACTGTGAATGTAGATAGAGACATTGAGAAGAGGGACACATGTGATGTATGAAGTAACATGGAGAAGAGGGACAGGCATGTGAGTAAGAAGAGAACATGGAGAGAGGATCACATGTTGATTGTTAGAGGAGACATAAATGAAAGAGGGGACACTATGTGATGTGAACGAGAATGGAGAAGAGGGGACACATGTTGATGTAGAAGAGACATGAAGAAGAGGGGACACATGTTGATGTAGAAGAGACATGGAGAAGAGGGGACACATGTTGATGTAGAAGAGACATGAAGAAGAGGGGACACATGTTGATGTAGAAGAGACATGAAGAAGAGGGGACACATGTTGATGTAGAAGAGACATGATGAAGAGGGGACACATGTTGATGTAGAAGAGACATGAAGAAGTGGATTTTTCCTAATAGGTGACCTAATAATTTCTTATATTTGATGTTTTTCTGATGTCCTCTTTGTCCCGTTTGTCTGTCCATCAGCCCGGGGAGTTCCTGCGGATCTACAACCTGCGAGCGATCCCAGGATCCAGCAAGGTGCCGGGCCTCACCAGCAGCCAGAAGGAGCTGGACCACCTGGCCTTCCACCTGCACGGAGGAAACACCTTCGGGAGGGGCATCCGGGTGCTTCCAGAAGACTGCCCCGACGTGCAGGAGATGAAGAGGTACGGCAGGAGATCTCTTTACGTGATGTACTCTATTCCAGTGGTTCCCAACCTGGGGGGCGCGCATATAATACATATACATATAATTGTAAGGCAATACATGATTGTCACTAAAAGCCTTGTCTCTACATTACAATAAAATATAAAAAATAATTGATTAATTAATTTTAATAAAAATTCNAGAAGAGGGGACACATGTTGATGTAGAAGAGACATGGAGAAGAGGGGACACATGTTGATGTAGAAGAGACATGAAGAAGTGGATTTTTCCTGATAGGTCCCCTTTAAAAAGAACCAGTACTTCTTCCACCACTGCTCTCGTCTGGGTAACACGCTCCCATCCCATCACACGGGTATTTGCTCTGGTTGTAACCATTGGATGTCGATCGTGCAAAACATTTGACCTAAATAGGGACTTAATAACCTGATTCTGGATGATCAGGCGGGATCAGCGTCCGTTAATCCTGAGCTCCACATCTGGGAGCGAGCCTGGATCCTCTGCTGCTCCTCTGGGATCAACACAGAGATTTCAACTCTGAGCAGAGACTCCTGTAAGATTAACATTCTGCTTTTAATCCTTTCGCTTTTTGGTTTAATTTTTATACATGTAAGGCTGTCAGATAAAGTGACCTGCAGTGTGAGCGTGTATTGTGTTTTCAGAGAGATGTTTAAACTGCGTTGGCGAGCTGTTTGTGTTCCTTTTGTGCAAAGGATATAATGTGTAGATGTGATTTGATATGACAGGGGGTGCCAAACTCCATATTTTGAAGGGGAAGGACCACGAGATAAGGTGTTCTTGAGTTTCTCTAAAAGCAAAGAGGAAGAAATACTTTTTAATAAAATACTGAAACAGATTTTCACATTGATTGATTTCTTGAATACTTACTTGAAGAAAGAGCCCCTTTTGTGTTTGAAGAGGCCGTAGTAGAGAGTGTATTATGTCCCTTTGCTCCAGTGTGTTATATTGGTTTGTGTGCCTATAAAGGGTCTGCAAAGGCTAAAATCCTATGTAACAGCCAAATGCACTTCTATTGGCTGATGCTCCAATACATTGTACGTGGCTAAGGGGCGGGACATCTCTAATCGGTTGACCAATCACAACAGAGCAGGCCAGCTAACCAATCAGAGCAGATTCGGCTCTGGTTTCAGACAGAGGGTGAAAAGAGGTGCTGCAGCACAGGCAGTATGAGAAAAATAAAGACCTTTTTGAACATTAAAGCATGGAGACATGTCCCAGTAGAGACACTAAATGCAAATATGAACCTGAAAATGAGCAGAATATATTATTTTTAATTATATTTTATGACTTTATAGTAGTAGAAACCGAACAGCCGGCTCCAGTGACCTGACATTTTCTTAAAAACTAGTTTTAGGAAAGGATAAGCCAGGAAAAGGTTTGACAGATATGGAAAGCAGCTCTGGGATGCAACACACTGCGAGGAGAAAGGGAGCTAATCACTGACACTAATAGTCCTGCCAACTGCCTTGTTTCCAATTCAGCACTAATGTGAAATGACAGCTATTTTGTTGATGAGGTGAGCCAGTTTGGCATCTGAAGAGGGTCAACAAGGCTTTGAAATCGACCTGAGGAGGGATGTCAGCACGCCCTCCGGAGATGCAGGTGTACGTGACAAATTGACAGTGAGATCTGCTGCAGGCGCCGAGTTAGCTTCCCTGAAACTCTCAGCAGCTCTGAGAAACGCCTGATTAATATGCTAGGACACTTAGCATGCACCTGGCTGAGGAATCAACCACAAGAGAGAGAGAGACTGACACTATTGAAAATGATGGTAGAAAACTCACCTCAGAGTCTCTCGTGCGGTGTAACCAGAGCCGATCAAGATGGATTCATCGAAGAGTTTGTCCATGCAAGGAATAAACTCTGAAAAACAATAACATATATTTTTATTATTAAAATATTTGAGGTGAAACCCAAAATGGGGTAGACATGTTCTCAAAAGAGGTGCATATTTTGATCAATTTCTCATCTTTATTATCATTGAAAAATATGTTATTGTGATCTTTTGTGATTTAAAAAAGGGTTTGTTCTAGACCAGTTGCTTCAGTAAGTCTGTAGTAGGTCAAGATATCGCTGCAGCGCCACAGTACTTCTTTCAAAATGGTATTTTAACAACAAAATTGACAAATTATTGGGGTTCTTGCGATTTGAATATTGTGATTTCAATGCATTTTGATTAATTCTGCGTCCCTACTACACTTGTTGCAGTATACGGTGTTAACAATTCATTTTTACAAGACAAAAGAATAATAAAAGTGCATGAAGATATCGAAAAATGTGATTTTATTCAATATATTAGTAACTGTCCCTTCTTGAGTGACAGAACAATGGCTGCAGCACCTATCTATGGTTAGGTAGTTTCCTCAGTTTTCTGCAACTCCACAATGTCAAATCTCTCGACGAAATTGATCCAAATGACTGAAAATGGTTTGAGGCCAGAAGTAACTCACGATATAAGACAGAACATTTTCCAAAATGTGTTATCGCTGTCCCAAGTTTCCCCTGATGGGTGGTTGAGCTTTTATTCCATTTCATTCAGTCTCACTGCTCACCGCTCAGTCACAGAATCAAAAATGGGGGTTTTTGCAGCCGGGTTCACGGTTTATAAAAAATGTATTTCAGTGTGAAATGTGCAAAATAGAGTTTGACATTCTCTGCAATAATGTAGGCAGCTAATGTCTTGACCAGGAGGAATATATTAAACTATATTATCCTTAAAGTTTCTTTAACTTTTACTGAGGAGAAAATAAATGTTGGAAAGAATGAATTGGGAAGAATATTTTAAACTCCTATTAAAACTAGAATTATAGCTACACAGGTAAGGTTTGCTAAATAGAAATTTGAGCCGAGCTTTTTTTTTTCATTTAAGAGAATGGGACAAACACATTTGAAAGAACATAAGGGCTATGTGCAATTGTGTCACTGATGCAAATCGTCCAGCCTTTTAATGTTCCTGTTTTCTACTGGTCTGTGCGTGCCTGTGCGTGCGTGCGTGCGTGTGAGAGAGAGAGAGAGAGAGAGAGAGTGAGTGAGTGAGTGAGTGAGTGAGTGAGAGAGAGAGTGAGAGAGAGAGTGTGAGTGAGTGAGTGAGTGACTGAGTGACTGAGTGAGAGAGAGAGTGAGAGAGTGTGAGTGAGTGAGTGAGTGAGAGAGTGTGAGAAAGAGAGAGAGAGAGAGTGAGTGAGTGAGTGAGAGAGAGAGTGAGAGAGAGAGTGTGAGTGAGTGAGTGAGTGAGTGAGTGAGTGAGTGAGTGAGTGAGTGAGTGAGTGAGTGAGTGAGTGAGTGTGTGTGAGTGAGTGAGTGTATACATACGGCTGCGTAGGTCCGTGGTGAGGATGTGCTTGGCGGCGATGAGCAGTTCCTTGCGGAGGTGGGCGGTCTCGGAGGGGCAGTTGGTCAGCAGCTGCAGCATGCCCTTCACCATCTGCTGGGAGTACTTCCCTACCAGGTCCTGGTCAGGTGCAAATACAAGAGATATGAGTGAAAGCAATACTAACTCATATTAGTCCTGTTACTGAGGCAAGCTATGGCCAAGAGAATGGCTCAAATAAATGTCTTTACTAGGGAAATAAAGAGTTTTGTGTTGAATTAAAACATCAATGCAAGAAGAGATATGAGTGAAAGCAATACTAACTCATATTAGTCCTGTTGTTAAGGCAAGCTATGCTAGGCCAAGAGAAATTAAAACATCAATCAAGACAAATGTTGGAGTGATTATTCAATATTTTTTGAATTTGATACCTTTTCATTTAATTTGGACAGACAGGGTGTCAATAACAACTCAAACAACTATTCACTAAAACCCCAAATTGAATTACTTCTATGTTTTTTTAAAGTTAGAGCCAATTGTCAGATTGTTTACTGCCTTTAACACTTTATCTTCAGAGGAAGCTATTTGTGCTGCCATGCAGTGTGAAAACTCAATCTAAAAGCTCAGTAAATAAACAGTCGTATTTTCATTTTCTAATTGTCTTGTTTTATCTTTTTTCTTCCGAGCGTCAGTGTCTCTATATCAGCGACCGCATTATAATACACTGTTTTCTGTCAATCACCGGACGCCCACGAGGAGAAACTATATCAAGAATCCTTCAAAACACGGCGGCTTGATTTACCATATCTACATATTTATGCGGGGGATTTTCACTTGTAAATAATACCAAGCTGAGTCTGACAACAGAATGCAACAAGAAAACAAATATTTAAAAAAGATATGTGTGTGTAGTACACATTGAAAGATACTAGTGAGAAAGCACATAATGCAAGAAGAGACTAATGATAACTATAACAACACATATTTCTGTAAGGCAGGATTACTCATTTAAAGGTCTCATGTCATGGCCATTTCCACTGATCATAATTCCATTGTTGAGGTCTACTAGAATAGATTTATATTGTGCAATTTTCCAAAATCACTTTGGTTTCTCATACAGCATCTCTGTAAACTATGTGTATTCACTGAATTTCACTCTCTGCCTTTAACGGCTCGTTGTAGCTC